GGGTGTGAAGTGATACCTCATTGTGGTTTTAATTTGCATCTCTCTGATGATTAGCGACGTCGAGCATTTTCTCATGTGTCTCTTGGCCATCCGTATGTCCTCTTTGGGGAAGTGTCTATTTAAGTCCTTTGCCTGTTTCTTAATTGGGTTGTTTGTCTTTCTCTTGCTGAGTGCTATGAGTTCTTTGTACACTTTGGAAATTAGCCCCTTATCAGATTCATCCTTGGCAAATACGTTTTCCCACTGAAAGAATTCTTAAATTACCACAGTGGACGCAAGCTCACTTTTGATGGTGTCTTCAAACAACTCACTGGTTTGCTTTTAACTCTAAGAAAGTTCTGTTTTTATAGAAATAGTTGTTTTATATTCCCACCAGCAATGCATGAGAGGTCGAGTTCCACATCCTCATCAACATTTAGTATTGTCAGTCTCTTTAGTTTTAGCCATTTATGCAGTGGTGTCTCACTGTGGTTTTATTTTGTGCTTCCCTGAATACTAATGATGTTGAGCATATTTTCCCTTGCCCATTGTCCATTTGTGTATCTTTAGCAAAGTGATTGTTGAAATCTTTTGCCAATTATGTTTTTATTGGGTTGTTTGCTTTTTTAAAATTGAGTTGTAAGAGTTCTTTATATATTCTGTATACAGATTTTGTTGTTGTTATGAGATATGTGTTTTTATCCTTTTCTTTTATTTTCTTATCGGTGTCATTTGAAGAGCAGTTGTTAGTTTTGATGAAATCCAGTTTATCAATTTTTCTTTTAAGCGTTGTACTTTTTTGTGTAATATCTAAGAAATCATTGCCTAATTCAGTGACAAGGTCTCTATGTTCTCCTCTAGAAACTGTATAATTGTAGGCTTTACATTTAGATTTATGATCTATTTAAAGGTAATTTTTTGTTCTTCATAGGCTTGTTTTAAATAACAAATTATTCTCCATTATGCACATTAGCTTCTGACTACAGGCACACAGAGTAATTGGAAGTAGCTGTCCTTATGCCATATTAAGTATTTCAGTGTACATACCTCTTATAGCACATTCTGTTTTGTTCACATGCTTATTTCTGACTAGATGGAGCTGTTGGGAGGGCAAGGACAGTGTTTTATTTATCTTTGTTGTAGAGTAACTACATGTTATATCGAGGACATGCAGGAAAAGTTTAGATTAATGAATGAATTAGTGGCTTCAAGATACACAGGCCTTCTAACAAGTAATTGTCTTGTTAGACTTGACTCTTGCAGTTCTTACAAGTTTCACCAACACAATAATGTTTCTTTCACATCTCAGTAAAATGTGCATAAATGGACTTTTGGGGTAGGCCTCAGTTTGAATCCCAGCCTTACCAACCTATCATCTGCTTTTTTTATTATTCATTTAACCATAAAATTCATTCTTTTAAAATGCACAATTCAGTGTTTTTTAGTGTATTCACAAGTTTGTGCATCCATCGCCACTGTCTAATTCCAGAACATTTCCATTACCTCAAAAAAGAAATCCCTTACTCATACCCATAGCCATTAGCAGTCACTCCCCTGTCCCTCTTCCCCCAGCCCTTAGCAACTACTAAGATGTATCATTTTTATTCAAAGGAAAGAGATTAAAATAATCTAACTCTATAACCAATTTCTAAGAATATCACCCTTTAAAAATGTGCTGAAAGGAGGCATTAATTGATTTTTCTCTTTGTAGGAAAGAATACCAGAAAGGGATACCATGGGGCGAACAGCAAGGGGAGGTAAAATTTACTTATCTAAAAATGAAAATATTTTTTGTTATTCATTTGGAATGAGTATCTTTTGGTAGACTGAACTTTTGTAAAAGCCTTTTTAAAAATAAAAGTTATGGGAGATGTTAGGTGCTTAGAATTGGAATTTTAGAACTGAAGAGCTATTAAAGGTAATCTTGTCTTCCCCTCCTAGTTTTATAAATGAGAAAATCGACACTCAGGGAGGTTAAGTGAACAGGTCATACAACAATTTGTAACAATGTCAAATTCAGAATCCAAATCTTCTAACTCTAATATGAGTGATTAAAAACACTTCATCCTGCCTTGCTCTAATGAGAAGGCTGCTCATTGTCTTATGCATATACCACACTCATTTGCACTCTGTTTTGAGTTGTATTTTCTTTCACATAATACATACTTCACATTTTTGCCATCCTAAATCCTGTTTTTCCTTCAAGACCCAATTCAAGTCCTGTACCTCGTGACTTTTTCTCTGGCTGAATACTTAATGCTATCCTCTGCTGTTCACAATTTATCAAGTGTATTAGTTTAGTGTAGTCTCTGTAACTAGATTTTTAGCTTCTCTAGAGCAGGAACCATGCCTTTAGTTTTACTTTCTTTCCTATTAGAAAATATTATGGAGAGCTATTTAGTAAATATAAATATGTACTTTTTTACTAGCCAAATTATTTAAATAGAAAGCATCCCATATATCCCCCTCAAGTGTTCATATATCTTGAAGAGTTACTCAGTTATAACCAGAAAGTAGATCTGTTACCCTAAATGATACACCTGGCATCACTCATAGGTCCTTCTTTAAGAAGCTTGTCATTTGACAGTTCAACCATCAATAAGGATAAAACAGCCTGGCCGGCGTGGCTCAGCAATTGAGCATCGACCTATGATCCAGGAGATCGAAGTTTGATTCCCGGTCAGGGCACATGCCCGGGTTGCAGGCTTGATCCCCACTGGGGGCGTGCAGGAGTCAGCTGATCATTGACTCATCATTGATGTTTCTACCTCTCTCTCTCCCTCTCCTTTCCTCTCTCTGAAATCAATAAAGACATTAAAAAAAGGGTAAAACAGCAATAGATGGAAACATATCAAGTATGGTTAAATCCATGAGTTCATAATGATATTAAAAAAGAAAACTTATTGGTCATTTGTGGGGAATGCTAGGGATCCAACTCATTATTTTGAAAACTAAAAGTAAAGAAAATAAAGCATTGATTGTGACTTCTCTATATGATCTGTACCTTAGGGTAACTGGTCAAAGAAAGGAGGTTTCTCTCTATAGAATTTTTCTGGTTAATAAAGACAGGATGATAAAATTAGAATACCTCTATTTTGCAACCACTAATGAACTAATGCATATACACAATAGCCATCCACAGCTGGTCAGATCACATAAGAGAGAAAGAACTAGATATAAATTAGGAACCTCCTGTGAGAAGTACACACATCACGTATGAAGCCATCTTCTGTCTCCCCCCCCAAGCCAAATCTGAATCTCATTAAGCTCTTGATCAAAATATTAATACCAATTTAGAGAAAATATAAGGACCAGAAGAATTCAGTACCATGAGGAAGTAGTCGGCAAAATCCAGGTTGGAAAACTCTAAACTGGTATCATCAGCAAAAAAATTGCTAGGGGAAGGGGAACAAAGAAAAAAAGGAGCATATGGATCAAAAGACTTAAGAGACATATCAACCATTGTTATGTATGGACTTTATTCGTGTTCTGATTCAAATCGACACACTTAAAATAATTAAGACAATTGGGGAAGTATGAACACTGACTGCTTATTTGATGATATTAAGGAATTATGCTTAATTTTTCAGCATAATAGCAGTATAATGATTAATTTTTTAAAATTATCTTTAATAGATGTATACTGTAATATATGTAGACAAAATAATATAATATCTTAGATTTGGTGAAATCACAAGTGCCAACACTGTTTGAGCTCCTCAGTTTGGCACAGAACTCTGCCTAGTCCATTGAATTACATTATATTCTAGCTTCCTTGTTATGTTTTAAACTCTCAAAAACATCCACTTTATTTCTAGGACGTGTTAATTTGAATATTGTAAGGATCAGCTCAGCTTGTTTTGGTTTATTTATTCGTTCATTTAACAAATCCTTGAGGGTGTTATTGCATGCCAGGTCCTGTTCTAGGCACTGAGAATACAGCAGTGAGCAAAATGGACAAAAAATAGATAAATAATTCCCTGCCTTTTTGGAGTTTACATTTGAGTGAGATATAAAATGAACAAAATAACGGAGCAAATTAGGTACATAGTATGTTAGAAAGTGAAATCCTGTGTAAAAACCAAGAATATTATAAAATTGAAACTGGCTCCTATCAGAAAACAGTTTTAGTTTATAGTTTTTCTAAGTGCCTTTTCAGAGTGTTGCTGTGGTCTTCTGGAATTGCTTACTGTTTTGTTTTCTTTAGATTCAATGAATGTGAAGAAGGAGAATCAAGAGAAAACGTCTCAATCGGGCACAGCTGTGCAAGGTGGTAGGTTTTAAAGTAGTTTGATGCAACAAATTTTTTTCCTCAGTGTTGATATGAACTCTTACTGCTTTTGATGTAGTCTCTGTACAGCAAACTCTTGTAAATATAAAATCTAAGCAATAAGAAAGGTCAAAAAATAGTTTTTTATTTTGAAAATTTTACTTTGGTTTTACTTAGAGATAAATTGGTATGGGATTAAGTAAAAATATAACCATGTATTTCAATGTAAATTTTGCCAAATTAAAGATATCTAGTTATTAATTACAATGTATTACCAATTTAAAATAACTTGATTACTAATAAAAACCCTTTTAACATTAGAGTCAATGTGAAAGTCCGTTTTTGATGGTCAAAAGACAGTTGATAAAAGTGGATAAAAACTTAGGGATTGATAGGTCTGACAGACCTGTTTTAGAATCTTGGCCTCATTCTTTTTTTTTTTTTTTTTAATCCTCACCTGAGGATATGTTTTTATTGATTTTAGAGAGAGGAAGGGAGAGAGAGAAACATTGATTAGTTGTCTCCTGTATGTGACCTGACCGGGGATTGAATCTGCAGGCTAGGTGTATACCCTGACCAGGAACTGAACCCACAACCTTTTGTTGTATGAGATGACACTCCAACCAACTGAACCACCAGGCCAGGGCTGACCTCATTCTTTTTTTTTTTTTTTTTTTAATATGTTTATTGATTNTGGATTGGTTGCCTCCCACACGTGCTCGACTGGGACTGGGGATGAACCTGCAACCCAGGTACATCCCCTTGACTGGAATAGAACCCACCACTCTTTGGTGCAAGGGCCGACGCTCTAACCACTGAGGACCAGCCAGGGCTGACATGATTCTTTTTTTTTTTTTTTTTTAAATATGTTTATTGATTGTATGATTCTAGAGAGAGAGGATGGGAGAGGGAGAGGGAGAGAAACATCTCTGAGAGAGAGAAATATTGATCAGCTGTTTCCCATATGCCCCCCACTGGGTATTGAGCCCGCAACCTGGGCAAGTGCCCAGACTGGGAACCGAACCGGTGATCTCTTGGTGAGTGTGTCGACACTCAAGCATTGAGCAACACTGGCCGGACTGGCCTCATTCTTTACTGGCTTTGTGACCTTGGGCAAATTACTCAACGTTCTTTTTTTTTCTCTGAAGCACAGGGATAATACTACTCACCTCATTGGATTATTGGAATTTAAGTTTAAAAAATGAATATGAAGTACCTAGTATAATTCCTAGGTATTGTATATGTTCAGTAAATGTTAGTTTTGTTTATTAACACTGAATTAATTTCTTATTGTAAACAGCATGTGTATAGCACTGCATCAGAGGCACTGGAGGTACATCTGACTCATTGTGCGTGCTCTTAAGGAAAATGAGAAAATAAGTCATATGCCCACAAAAGTCTGAATAAAAAAATAGCAAACTTATTGTGTTTACCAGATTACCAGGCAAAGCTCTTGCCCTTTCCTTTGTCTTTCTGTTGTACCTACCTTGCCAGCCCCACTCTTGTAGTAGTTCATATATGCCTTTCTGTTCCTACAGGAAGATTGCCTATAGAGGTAATCCCACCGGAATCATTCGCTTTCAATGCTGGGCCCTTAATGCTTCCTTATTTTTCCTATTGGCCTTACTTGTCCTTCAGTTCTTCCCTTCAACCTCTAAAATCCTCCAAGGAAATGGAGGCCATTAGGTTAGAATGTTCTTCCTCATCTCTACAAATTCCTCTCCAACCATTTAAAAAATATAAGTTTTGTTTAGATGTAATTTACATACCATACAATTCACCCATTTAAAGTATACAATTCAGTGGTTTTCAGTATATTTACAGAGTTGTGCAACCATCATCACAGACAATTTTAGAACATTTTTATCACCCTAAAAAGAAATCCTGTATCTAGTTAGCAATTACTTTCCATTTTCTCCCAATGCCTCTCCCCTCCCCAGCTCTAGGCAACCACTTATCTACTTTTTGTCTCTGTAGATTTGCCTATTCTGAGAATTTCATTAAAGTAAATTTAAAAAATATATTCTTGAAGGTTGAAACTAGTAACTTTTTAAAATTCTCAAACTTTTGATTTAAACAATGAGATTACTTAAATTGACAGACATCTGCAGATATTTCTTAGGGCTCTGATCTTAACATCTTGTTTTAGAAATCAGTGAGTGACTACTAGAAGGTAAGCTCTAAGAGAGCCAGGATTTTTGTCTATTTTATTAACTGCTGTATCTCTAGTACCTAGGACAGTGCCTGGCGCATACTATGGGAATCCAGTGATGAATGAGACAGACATGATTCCTGCCTTCTTTGAGTTTAGGAAGCAAGATAGACATTAAATAAGTGCCCAACTTCATTTGTGATAAGTGCTGTGAAGTAACGGGTGCTGTGATCATTCAGCGGAGAAGCTTCTAACTCCAGATGTTTTGCCCATCTTTACTAGACTCTGAACCCCAGCCTCACACTAGAAAACAATGTGATTCTGATTTACTCTGAAGAAGAGCAGGGGGCTCATATAGATTGTGTTCAGTTTGCCAAAAGGTTTTTGGACAAATAATGGACTAGAATAGAGTACAAGTCAAACAAGAAGGAACCATGGGCATGTGCCATTAACAATCAGAGCACAAAGTTAGGTTTCTCTTGAACAAACCTATCAGTTCCCAGGCTTCTTTTCTGAGAGAATCCCCTCCACCTCGTCCCAGTTTGTCAGTGAGGATAAGATGTAGAGGCAGACTGGGACCTCAGACTTGACTAAGACTTTCTGACTATTTTGGCTCTTGGTCAGGAATTCCAGCTGTGGTATTGCAGATGTGTAAAATCTAAATTAGTAAAGCCTGTTGCTATGTATGTTTCCCCTAAGTTAATGGGAGAGTCTGAGTACAGGGGCAGCCAAGATGAACAGTTTTGCAGACTAAAATTTTGCCTTATGAATAAAAAAATTAAGACTCCAATGATTAAATCCTACATATGGTCATTAGCTAGTGATACAATAGAAAATGATCATATTATGATCATATTATACAGTGCACTAGTATAAAGGATTTGCTAGCTCAAATTAAAGCCCATTCAGACACAGATGGTGATAGAGTATTAAAAAATTGTGTTAGAGATATGGATTAAGTATTTTCAAATGTCATGGAAAAATTTTACAAATATAACTGGTTTATGGAAGAGTTCTTTGAGGTATAATTGTGAAATGGTTTTAGTTTCCCAGTCATTATTTTCAGCTTACACTCTTTTCTTCCTGGGATATCAGCTCCTTAATGTCATCCTAGCCACCCCCCCCCCAAATTCATGTTTCATTTTGTTCTTTTTAAAAAAAATACTCTCCAAGACCATATGTTGGTAGAGCTTCAGTTGGAATCTTGGGTCTCCTGATTGTCGGGCTAGTGCTTAGGAGGTCACTGAAATATCCTGGTCAGTTTAATTTTGGAGCCATGGATCTCAGTTTTCACTTTTTGAAAAAGCCATCCAGTATTCATAAATTTAGGCACAACTATGACATTTAGTTTTATAATTATAACGTACTATTTATTGAGTCACTTACATGTATGCTACTTCACTTAATTCTCAAAATACCTTGTACCATACTTATTACATTCCCCATTTTATAGAAGAAGGAACTGAGGTTGAGAAAGTGAGATGACTTTGTCAGGGTCACATAGCTAGAAAGAGTCAGAGCCTGACTGGAAGGAGGCAGGTTTGACTCCAGAGCCCATATTCTCAACATTCTGCTGTATACCTTTAAGCAGTGTGGTAGCACTCACTTTACATCATCTGAAGTGGCCTTAAACACAGTATTTTTTTAATGGAACAATCTCTTAAATTTATTGTTAAGTTAAAAAAGCAGGGTGTACAGTGTTAGGTATGACATATAATATTTGTACATACACATATAAATGTACACACATTTATCGATGGTATGCTGAAGCTGGTTCACACCAGCTTGGGAGAGCCATTTGTGCATATCTCTTTCTAGTTTTGTAGTTAGTGACTTCACCTTGGCACCTTGCAGTCAGCTATGGTGGTAGTATTTACATCGCAGAAGTTTGCAAACACTACCAGTCAGGCTTTTTGTTTGTATTTTCTGGAAAGCTGGCTGTTAAACATTTATGAGCACTTGGTTTCTGTGTGTGTGTTTCAGTGCGTTATATCCTTTAAAGGATCTATAAGAGGTTAGTAATGTAAATTCCCCCAGAAAGGGGAAATGTCAAAACCAATATTTTTATAGTAACAAAATTAAATTAAATGAGAGTATAGAAAAATCTCATGGTTGATGAGAATTAAACTTTGTATGAATTAATAGTACCTTTAATACAGCTATCAAATATTTCTCTCAGTGTCTTTGGCATCTGACGGGCACAGTGAATTGAAGTGTTTAAGCCAGGCAAAGTACTGCTTTCTGAGCTTTTCCTGAAGACTAAGTAGAGAAAGCACAGCAGGAGTGTATAGAACATGTAGACCATTAAAACAATCCATATCAGTGACTGTACCAATGACTGGTTTACTGCTTTTTTCTGTCACCATATTCTTGATACCTGGATGGAGGTTGACTAGTCAGTTGAGAAACAATTGTAGTTCTCAGATTTTTTCTTTCCATAAAATTCTGTTAGACCACACACCTAAACATCTTTAGTTCCCCATGAAAAACAAAGAAGCACCATCACATTTATGGGATGAGATGTTTAAAATACGTCTTGAGTACATTTATATTGGAGACAGATGAGTAAAATTTGCTATTACTCTATAGTTGTTTCTTGAATCCACATTTTTAGAATCACTGCTATAGTCCTCATTACATTGAGAAGATCTGGCTTGTAATTTGTACCAGAGCCATTATTATCAGGAAGTTGTTTTATTTTTTATTTCTATGCTGGTAATCAAATATAGATCAGGAAGTTTGAATCTGCTCTTAGGAAGTATTTTTTTTAACGAGATATGGAACTTAAACCCATTTTATTCTTGAAAATTAGTATACATATTGTATATATTAAAAATTATTTTATATATTTATTTCCAGATGATTTCCATTGGGACAGTTACTTGAAAGAGACTGGATCTTTAAGTGCTCCTGCAGATTGTTTCAGACAGGTATGCCAAAATTCTATAGATGTTGAATATATATATATTTAAATATATTTTTATTGATTTTCAGAGAGAGGAAGGGAGAGGGGGAGAGAGAGATAGAAACATCAATGATGAGCGAGTCATTGATGAGCCGCCTCCTGCACGGCCCCCAGTGGGGATTGAGCCCACAACCTGGGCATGTGCCCTGACTGGGAATCGAAACACGATCTTCTGGATCGTAGGTTGATGCTCAACCACTGAGCCACATAGGCCAGGCAGATATTGAATACATTAATGTAAGCTATTAACTTGTTGAAGGGTGATTGTTAGGTTCAGGTGGTGAGGAGATGGTGGAATTATGGCAGTGCCATTTAAGAGCCAGATGGTCTCTTTGCACTTCATTCATTAAGAATTTCCTTAGTGTCAGGTATACGAAAGCCCTTACAACTGCCCATCTGGAGGGAAAGACAGATGTAAATAAATAATTATGAGAGAAGTGTGATAACTCTATATTGGGAAGGCTAACAAAAGAGGTGCTATCTGAGATGGTTGGAATGAGGAGAAGAATATTCCAGGTAGAGAGAACATCCAAAACGAAGGCACATGGGTATAAAAGAACCCAAGTGTGAGGGATGGCATGGGGTGGCTGGAGCACAAAGTGGGTAGAGGCGATAGTGTAGGAATGAGGTTAAAGGTGTGGGGGCTTTTATACTGTACTGAGCACTTGGACTTTTATCTTAAGCAGTGGTGAGCTACCAGTTGGCTTATTTCAAGGGGAGTGGCCTTAACAGATTCCTATTTTAGAAGCCACTCGGTGCATTTTAGAGGCCGTATTTGGGTTGCCTGGAAGTCTGCAAATGAGTAAAACCTGCAGTTGTGTTTTTATGCTGCATGTCAAGTCAAGGGGAGGGTTTGAACATCTTTTTCTTGACTCTTATAGTTCTTAACTTTGTTCACCATCTGCTGTGACTGTTACTTAAATGCTCTTCAAGTATTCTGGTAACATAACTGACCATTTGTTTTTCTTATAGTTGATGCATTTTAACAAAATTGTATTTGTGTGTGTGTGTGTGTGTGTGCGCGCAGTCCAAGATTCCACCAACTAATGAGTTCAAAGTTGGTATGAAATTGGAAGCCCATGACCCTCGCAATATGACTTCAACATGTATTGCCACAATTATCGGAGTTACTGGTGCCAGGTTACGTTTACGCCTTGATGGTAGTGATGATAAAAATGATTTTTGGAGACTTGTCGATTCTTCAGACATACAGCCCATTGGGACATGTGAACAGCAAGGGGACTTACTTCAGCCTCCACTAGGTAAGGATAAACAGTTTTTAAAATAACATATTCTTATTAATGTAATATTCAGTAGAAATAGTTATAATGGCCTTTTAAAAATCTCTTCTAGACATTCTTGCAATTAGATGGTCAGGTGATTAATGTGAAGAATGTATGAGAGAGGAACTCATCAGTATCATATGTTAGAGAGTTTCACTAAGCATATATTTGCTTTATGTGTGCTAAAGGTTTCCCACTCCAGGGAAAGACTCATGCTGTCTTCAAACTTGAAATATCAAAAGCTGCTCTACTAGATTTAGAAGCTCATGCAGATTCAGAAGCCCTTTTGGGGGAGTAGTTTGTAGCATTTGATACAAGTCACTTCCTCCCTCAGTATTGTCCACTGAGCCATTCAGCATTTTCAGTATAGAGGTGAGCATAGGGGATTCCACATCCAGGTTCCAGATACAAACTTGGAAATTCCATTTCATCTATAGTGGGAAGAAATCCCAGTGAGACAGGTAGGAGTCAGTAAATTTAGGTCTTTGAAAAGGAGGAAATGGATGGAACTTACTGGAAAAGGTTTTTAAGTACAAAGCTCTCCATTTTGACCAACTTTTTAATAGGTAAAAAGTGTGTGACTCTAATTTTGGGCAAAATTTTTCTTTTACTACTTAGGCGTACCATGATATTCTATAGAAAATAAGTGATTTTGCATATTCTGTATTCTGAGTGAATGGTGGGTTACAGAATTAAGAAAAATGTTAAACTGAGAAAAATCGTGGTATATGATGCAATAGGATAAGATAGGGGTTAAGAGAAAGGCATAAGGACCAGAGACTGATTTTCAGTCAATATTCTGAACGCAGTGTGGAAAATCTATGCTGTGGGTAACTTTAGTAGATATCACTAATAATATTGACTTATTATAAGGGAGTAACAAATCCCCCCCATTTTTCCTAGCAACAATTATTTCCCTAATCATATTAGGGGGTTTTGATACAGGATTATAATAGGATGACTTTCTGTCTGAACTTTTTTGCATGTTTTATCCTACTGATGGACCTGTTGCCAGTGATTCATGTGCCTCCCTATCTTAATGCATGTATCCATCAAGGATGCATGACAAGTTCTCTCCAATTCTGGCATCAAGGCAGGCAAGTGTTGCCTGAAACAGAAGTTTTACTGCCCCCAGGAAGCAGTAAAACTAGCAGACCTCTGTTCCCAGATGCTGTCACCATTAATTGTAAGATCTCTAGAAAAGATACCTATTGAGTCTATTTTGATAGCATCTGATACATACTCCAAGAGAAGATCATGTTTAGTGTGTGTAAAGATTGCTAAAGTGAGAGGTGGATTTTTCTCTAAAATATTGTATGAAAAATTTCAAACATACAAGGTGAAAGAATTTTACAGTGAATACCTATCTACCTACTACCTAGGTTCTGCTATTATCATTTTATTATATTTGCTTTATCACTTATCTACCCATCTGCCTTTCTATCAATTTATCAATTCATTTTATTTTTAAATATATTTCAGAGTAAGTAATTGACATCAGTACATTTCCCTTGAATACTTTAGCATGCATATCATTAATTAAAGTTGTGTTTATTTACATTTTTAGGTGAAATTTACATCAAATGAAATGCACCATTGTTAGTATACGTTTGTTGAGTTGGACAGAAAACTGTCTTTTTCTGAAAGGAAATAAGGCAGGGGAAAAAGAGGGTCTGGAAGTCTTTTGCAGCCTTCGCCCAGCTTGTGAGGCTGTTGGTGGGAAATGGAAGCTCTCCTGGGTTCTGGCTTGGAACACCCGAGTGTTGTGGTCCATTCCCAACGTATACATATATGTTGGTGAACTCTAGTTAGTGGCTTCTATAAGCCACTACCTAGTGGCTTCTACCTCCACTGTAGCATTGTTGCCAAATAATACAGTGGGTACAGTAGAACTGATTGGAGAGTGCAGCTACTCCTCTTGCCCATTTCCTGACTTCCTCAATAAGAAAGACATTCTCTGGAGAATAGTAAATGAAAGCTATTTTTAATACCAACTTGCTGTAATATCATAGGGAGGCTTTTTCATGATATCTGATTTAATTTTTAAAATAGGGTACCAGATGAGTACATCATCTTGGCCGATGTTCCTTTTGCGAACACTGGATGGATCCGAAATGGCACCTGCTACATTCTTCAAGGAGGTAGGAAAGAATTTATAAAGGGCTTCCATTAGCTGGGCTGTGGTTTCATTCATTCATTCATTCATTTATTTATTTATTTATTTTAAAGTATATCTTTATTGATTTCAGAGAGAGGACGAGAGAGGCAGAGAGAGAGATAGAAACATCGATGATGAGAGAGTCATTGATTGGCTGCCTCCTGCATGCCCCCGACTGCGGATCGAGCCCACAACCGGGGCATGTGCCCTGACCGGGGATTGAACCGCAATCTCCTGGATCCTAGGGTGATGCTTAACTGCTGAGCCACGCTGGCCGGGCTGTGGTTTTATTTTTTTAATGGGGTACTTAAATAGTTTGTCTTCTCTAACATGAAAAAGCAAAAATGCTTTTTAAATTACTGGGTTGGCAAGTGTATTAGTCTGCTAGGGCTGCCAAACTACCACAGACCCAATGGCTTAAGCAAAAGAAATTTAATTTTTCACAGTTCTGGAGGCCAGAAGTGCAAAATTAAAGTGCCATCAGGGTTGATTTCTGGTGAGTCCTCTCAGCTTATAAATGGCTGCCTTTCCACTGTGTTTTCACATGGCCTCTTCTCTGTACATGCACAGAGAGAGAGGAATCTCTGGTATCTTTTCCTCCTCTTATAAGGAAACAGTTCTGTTGGATTAAGGCCCACTCTTATTACCTCTTGTAACCTTTATTACCTTTATAAAAAGGCCCTGTCCCTAAATAGTCATATTTTGGGTTAGGGCTTCAATTTATGAATTTTGTTGAGGACACAATAAGCCCATAACAGTATCTTAAACCTCATAAATTTATTTTCTCAAAGCTCCAGAGGCTAAAAGTTTGAGGTCAAGGTGTCATCAGTCTTGTTTTTTTTGAGGCCTCTCTTCTTGGCTTGTAGTTGATGGGAGCACACAATTCAGCCCCAAACAGCAAGTCAATTATAATAATCCACTAGTCAAAATGAATTAGTACCCTTTTTCTTGACTTTAGATATGAAAGGGGTGCTCTACTGGAAGCAGATGTTTGTTGCTAATTTTTATTTACCTTCAGAAGTGAAGCTTCCCCTCACTTAGCTATGTTAGTCATCCCTTTGATATTGGAGAAAATGATGATGGACCAAAAAAACCACTTGAAGGTTACTTGGAGAGATTTGTTTTCAGAAGTAAAAGAATGTTAAAAACAGTCATCAGAATGAATTTTTTATAAGGAAATACTTGTTAAATAACAAAGGGAAAATTCCAAAAATAGTTTGTACTCAAGAAATTGTCGAAAGAGTACACTATGTTGATAAACAATGAATAAAAGCCAAGTTTTAGTTAAATTATGGGTCAAATATTTCTTTCTCACCTGTTGTCCTAATTGTTTTCTCAGTCGCTTAAATTTTATTACAACTCTTCATATCAGGAATGATAAACATTGATTGTAGTTTTTAAAAACTTTTTTTTGAAGAAGATGATTAAGGATTTAAGGATGTGACGTATCAATTAATATGACTTCTGTGCCCTGGCCAGTGTGGTTCAGTTGATTGGGCATCATCTCGTGCACTGGGAGGTTGCTGGTTCCATTCCCCATCAAGGGCACATGTCTGGGTTTTGGGGCACGATCCCCTGTAGGGGGCATGCAGGAGGCAGCCAGTTGATGTTGAGCTCTCACGTCGATGTTTCTCTCTCTCCCTTCCTCTCTCTCTAAAAAATCAATAAACTATTCTTTAAAAAAATATGACTCATGCACTGCAAAATAAAATTATTTGAGTGCAGCTTTGAGCAGCATGGGTGCTAAAAGTGGGCTGCCCTATAAGCAAAGAACACGAGCAAATGCAAGCCCTTTGGGCAATGGGTAAAGCATATGTGAGAATAGCTAATAACAGGGAGATATTTAGTATTATTTTGTTGTTGTTGTTGTTATTAATCCTCACCAGAGCATATTTTTTCCATTGATTTTTTTTTTAAGAGAGAGTGGAAGGGAAGGGTGGGGAGAGAGAGAGGGAGAGAGAGAAAGCATTAATGTGAGAGAGACACATCAATTGGTTGCCTCCTGCATGCACTCCAACTGGGGCCAGGGATTGTACCTGCAACCCAGGTAGGTACCCTTGACTGGGAATTGAACATGTGACCCTGTGGTGAGCAGGCTGATGCTAACCACTGAGCCACACCGACCAGGACTAGCAGTAGTTTTTATTAAACGCTTATTAGCTTGGGCTTTGCCTTTAGAAAAGCCATTGAATCTATTTACTTACCAAATTGTTTTATCAGCTAGTCACAAGCCTCATGTCCTACACATTATGTTTTTCATTTTTTAAATTATAAAAGTAGTTCATGTTTCCGTGGGGGGTAGAAAATCAAACCATACATTTAGCTAGAGTAAAAAATGAGCATTCTTTATCCCGCCCATTCTTCTATTTCACTCTTCTCTCCAAATTGGTTTTATTTGTGTTCTTCCAGACCTTTTTCTGTGCATTCACAAACATATATATGGGCTTTTCTTTTCTTTTTTTAACATAAATTGGAATATATTGTATATATTCTGTAATTTAGTTTTTCCCCTAAATTATATATATAGTTTGGAAATCTTTCCATTTCATTTCATATATACTTCAGGTAATCTTCTGTGGTATGGATTACCACAATTGATTTCATCTCTGCCTAAGGATGGATGTTTAGATTCTCTCCATATTCTCCGTATTATTTATCATCTAGAGTAAGCATTCTTGCACAGTGCTTTTTATATAAGTGTGAATAGCTGCTATGTTCTTAGAAGTAGAATTGCTGGTTCAAGGGGAATGTATGCTTTAGGTGTTGATATATACTGTTAAATTGCATTCCAAAAGGGTGTTCCAAGCTATGCTCTACTACTAGTGTATAGGTATGTTTGTATTCCCAGACATTCACTAACATTGAATATTACCAATCTTTTAAAATTTTGTGAATCTTTTTTGGGAGTTGGGAATAGGGATGGTAAATCTTTGTTATAGTGTTCATTGAGCTTTTAAAATGTATTTAATGGCCTTTTATTTTTCTGTGAATTGCATGATTATTGCCTTTTCCTTTTTCTATTGAATTTCTTTTCTTACTCTTACTGATTTGTGAGTGCTCCTTTCAGCCAAACTTGAAACTTGATCAGGAGCTATTTTAAATCCTCACTCCTCCATGACCCTGGCTGGCCTCTGGATAGCCAATTAATTATAAAGGCCCACCCACTTAGCTTCCTAATTATTTCTTTGTTGTGTCTCTTCTTTCTAACCTTACCACCATTGCCCCTCATACAGGCTTTCCTCTTGCTTGGACTGTTTAGTCATAACTGCCTCTGATCTTCACCTTTCCACACAACTGCTAGAAATACTTGACACGGAAGTCTTACTACATCATTCCCTTGCTTGAAACTCTTTTGAGAGTTTCAGGATGAAATATAAGCTTGTTAACATGGCCTTTAAGGTACCGTATGATCTGGTTTATGGCTGCCACTTCTTGCTTTGGATTTTACATTCTAAGTTGCTTGTAATAGCCTGCTGATACCACGTTTCTTTTCAGAGCTGGTCATCTCTGATTAACTCCCCCCTTTTTTAAGATTCATGTCAGGTATTAAATCCTTCAAGATACCTTCTCTAATTCCCCCTCTCCATTTTTATTCTTCTGTAGCACTTTGTGCGTATCTCAATGTTTGTAGGTATTGGGCTACATCATTGTTTTCACTCTCTTGCTTCCTAGACTGAGTTCCTTTTGAATAGTTAACATGACTTTGTATTCTTAGTGCCTCTCATTGGTCGTAGTACATACTTATTTGTTAAATGAATGAAGAAAGTTGGGAAGTACAGAAAAATGAGTACATATAGAGGGAGAAGATGAGTTTTTGTTTTGGACATTTTGGGATGCCTCTGGGAAATTTTTGGAAGGATGGCTACCAACAGACTGTTAGAAGTAAAGTATTTAGAGCTTAGAAACAAGGTTTTGCTTGGGTACATGGATTTGGGAGCTTTTAGTTTAAATGGTAGTGATGGAAGCGTTGAGCATGAATGAGCTAGTTCAGAATATATAGGAGAAGAAAGGAGTGTCAATGTTAAAACCTTGAGAAATACCCACTCACCTTTATAATGTATAAGTACTCATATTAGGTACTTAATAGAGGTCAGTTAAGGGGAAGGTTGATTCTTTACTATTTGGTGGATAGGAAGTTCATCAGTTACATTAGGAAGAACTAAAGGCCAGGTGAACAATGCCCTTAGATATAGTTAAATTTGTAACTGTGGGAGCGGAATATTGATAGAGCTCATTGCTGATGGCCTCAGTTTATTACTGCATGAAATAAGAAACTGACAAAGGCTGGAGGGGAGGATTCATACATAGACTGAATGACTGCTGTGTTCTAACACTGAGGTGGAGAGCTTATTCTCTGGTTGGGGAGAATGTCAGTTAACAAAATAATAAACATACAATGAGGATACATTATTAGTCTTAACGTGAATAGTAAAGGTTTGGAATAGCTTCTGTATGGGATGGGAGAGATAACAGCCTAGGGACACAGGACTATTTTGGAGCGTTCAGCTAAAGATGAAGACTAAATATGTGTGGCACTATGTGTTACACGCATGTGGGACTTTTCTCCAGCAGTGCTCAGCAACTAAGTATTTATAGGTAAAGTGGATTATGATATTGAACTAAGATTTGGAGATAGCAGAACAAGCACAAAGGGGTAAGTTGCTTTTGGGTGCTGAGAAGAAAGTGGTGACATAATGCTCTGTAACCTGGAATTGAAAAGGTATGGTAGAATGTTAGGGTTTGGTCCTCTTCTTTATCTGTATCAGTGATTCTCAACTGGGAAGGGGAGCAATTTGCCCTCAAGGGACATTGGCAATGTCTGGGGACAGTTTTGGTTGTTATAACTTTGTATGAGGGTGCTACCTACAGTTAGTGGGTAGAGACCAGGGATGCTGCTAAATACCCTACAATGCATAGGACAGCCCCCACAACAGAATGTTCTGGCCCCAAATGGCCATAGTGCCAAGGTTGAGAAACTCTGATCTTTATTAATTTCTTGGTGATCTCATCTAATTCCTGTCTTTAAATACACTTTATATGCAGATGACTTTCAAATTTGTGTTTCTAGTCCAGACCTTTTGCTCCCAACTCAGACTGTATATCCAGCCTACCTACTTGACATCCCCACTTGAATGTCTAATAGACATCTCAAACTGCTCCTCTTGCAGCCTTTCCCATCTCAGGGAGTAGCAACTATCCTTCTAGTTCTTGGACCAGAAACCTTGGTGACTCTTTCATACACTATATCCAGTACATATCCTATTGGCTCTACCTTCAAGATAGGGTAAGAATATTCCAGGCAGAGGGGTAATGCAGGTAATGCTGAGATTGGCTTCAGAGTTGGTGGGGTTTGAGAAGAAATATCCTTTAAGGAGAACCATATTGTAGGTCAGCGAGGAAGGAGGTTAAAAGAGCATTCTTTACTAGCCACTTTCTTGAACAGAATCATTTTTTTCTCACAGTAAAAGACAATGATCCCTTGTGTATTTTACTATTGCTTTTGCAAATTACATCTTTATGTTTAGAAAGTCATTCAAGAACTGATGTTGACAAAACATATTCTTTAAAAACATTTTAAAGCAACTGAAGTTGCTTTGATATAAATGATATATCTTTTGATATATGCTTTGTGATATAAATATCATTACCTTTTGTGGACAGCAGAGGGAACTATTTTGCCAATTATCTAAATCTGGAGGTACCTTATTTTGAGATAAAGCCCTTTCATTTACTATGCTATACAAAAAAGAGAGAGGTTTCTTTCTTTCTTCCTTTTTTCATAAATAAAGATTTGTGCTCTGGCTGGTGTGGCTCAGTTGGTTGGGCATCGTCCCATGCACCAAAAGATTGCTGGTTCGATTCCTGGTCAGGGCACATGCCTGGGTTGTGGGGCTTGATCCCTGGTGGGGGACATGCAGGAGGCAGCCAATCGCTGTTCACTCTCACACTGATGCTTTTTTCCTCTCTCTCCCTCTCCCTTTCTCTCTAAAAATCAATAAAAATAAATCTTTAAAAAAATAAAGATTTGTTTTCTTTTGGAGTCTCTGTTAATATTTCTTTGTATGGGTATACTGATGTAAGTAAATTAAATAAGTAAATTCATGACAGAAGAATTAATAAACAGTATGAAAGTCTTCAGAGAGTAAGTAGCAGAAAAGCGTGTATAGCCATTTGAACTTGGTTTGCTTTGCTACAGAAAGTCTTACTCTGTCATATGACAGTTTAAGGTCCTGGGATCCTTATTTGTGCCTTGAATGTTTTCTGCATTCTGTGAATGTCCAGCACAGATTTATCAACTACCAAGGTCATCCTTTGTTAAAGATTTCTCCCCATTTCCCTATATGTGGCAACAGACAATTGATCTTTAGTGGCAGTATGTAACTCTTATTTCTTACCAGCTGTTTAGTTTTTAAATACTTTGATATTTGATCAAGCTAACTTTTGTTTTGCTGACTTTCAGAGTGGTTTTAAAGAATCAAATTAAGAATATATAATTAAAAGGACTTTGAGGGCTAATAATTAAGGAACTTTCAGATTGCAAGGGTGTGAAGGATAAAGTGGGAAAATATGGGATGAGATGGGTTTAAAGGGGGCATTTACAAAAGGGACCAATTTACCAAAGATATTTCTTAAATTATATCTTGGTGAAAGAATTAGTTGAGAGCTTGTTTCTTGTTTTTCAGGTGATTCCTTGGTACATTGAGGTTTTTTTTGTTTGTTTTTGTTTTTTGTTTTAGCTGCTTGCTATTGAGTCCTGTGCTTGAAATAATGTGAAGAATAAGATGTAGTACCTGCTTTTGAGAATCTGTTCTTCTCATAGAGGAGTGAACACATTCCAACAATAGTTTCACAATTGAAGGCAAGAGTGCCTCTGTTTAAGGTGGGCCTAGGAGTGGGCAGGAGTTGGTCAGGGAAGCCTTAAGAGGCCAAGAGAGCTGGGATTTGGAAGTGAACGAGTTCGAGTTGGCCAGGCAGATGATGGGTAGGGTGTTCCAAGGAGTTGGTTGCCTAGGCTTAAAATCTAGTTCTGATATTATGGTGTATTCTTAGGCAGTTGTGCATAAATTTTATCATCTGTAAAATGGGGGTAATAAGTTCACTGACTTCATAGGGTGTTGTGAGAATTAAATTTATGTATGGAAAACAGTGCCTGGCATATACTAATTAATTGAAGGTTAGCTTGTAATGTTATTTTTGTAGAGATCTAGGGGGTAGAATTGGCAGGTTGTGGTCTTTGAATGTGAGTATTAAGGGAAAAGTATGCCTTCAGGGCAGTGGTTCTGTCTTGGATGCACATTAGAATCACCTGGGAAATTAAAAAGGTGCTGATGCCTGGGCCCCACCATGGACCAGTTTAATACTTTTTCATGCCCTCAGGTGAGACTAATGTTTAGTTGAGCTGAGAACCACTGGTGTAGGACTGTTTCCAGGCTTCTGGCTCGGATGACTGGGTTGCTAATGTTTCCATTTACTAGGATAAAATGCAGATTGAAAGAAAAGATGTTGCTTTCAACATAGCATTTGGGCTTTCCAAGAATCCTATTAGCATTTGCATGCTTTAACTTTTGAAACCAAGGAATACTTTTTTAAGTATTCTGGATTGGATATTATAAATGACCTCAGACTGTATATATGACTTTCATGCTCTTGTGTCCGCATTTTATACTCAAGTTTAATTTTGCATATTATTTGTTATTGTTTCTTCTCTTTGGACTTAACAGCTTTCAACATACCCTATAATTTTCAAATTTATTGGTTTATTTGACTCCCTCTTTTAAAATTTCTTGTCGATTTCTTCTCCCTCTTGCCCACACTCAGCCCCCAACCCTATTACCAGCACCACCAGAATGTAAGCTCTACCAGAGTAGGGGTCTTTGATATTTTTGTTTACCAGTGAATCCTGAATTCTTGGTATATAGTATGTAATACATATTTCTTGAATGAATGAATGGCTGAATTACTGTCAGGCTGGTTTTGTTTCCTTCCAGGTTCTTGGCTCTGCTCCAGAGTAAGTGAGATGTTATAGAGCAGAGTTTCAGAGAGATCTGTAAGAACTGTTTTCTTCTTGTATTTAATTGATATACATGGAGCTCAGTTTTTGGTTGCTAAAAGTTGTAAGAGTACAATTGAGCAAATGCTTCTTAATGCACCTAAAGAATGAAAACGTTTTAAATGTTTTGATAGGAACCACCAAAGCCAGCTCTAAATAATTTTAAAGTGGGGATGAAACTAGAAGCTGTAGACAAAAAGAACCCGGATATGATATGCCCGGCAACTATTGGAGGCGTTAGAGGAGATGAAGTTCATATCACATTCGATGGTTGGAGTGGAGCTTTTGATTATTGGTGCAAATACTATTGCCGAGATATTTTCCCAGTTGGGTGGTGTCGTCTGGCTGGAGATGTATTACAACCACCAGGAACTAATGGTAAGATAATAAGTAACTACATCTTCTTTTATTTTACTGAAATTATATCTAACTGCTATTGGTATTCGTGCCCACTGGAGCCAGAGGCAGAACAGTGAGGGCACTGTTTAGGCTAGAGAACAAGAGATAAAAGAAGACTGTGATTAGAATTCTTGAGGACCAGCACAGTATTGTAGTCTGAATTGACAGTCCACACTGGAGATATGGGTAAAGCTGGAGGCCATACTTGGACCTTTGAAGCCTTGCTGCTATAAGCACTTTGGGTTACTCAGCTTCCTTTATAGTTGATGTTTAATTTAAAATTACTTATGGTATTCCATTATTTATATCTAGAAGATAGATTTTAAAAGGTTGGGCATAACTATGTTTTACATTATTTTGGCCATTTTACAAGTTAAATTCATGCTTTGATAGTCTTAAGTAAAATCTACACATCAATGAACATTTTGACCTGATGGAAGGCATCGTAGATTAATGTTGTTTTAGTCATGGATTTATCAGTTGTGATCCTGTATTTCATAAGTTGAATACTATGATTTTCAGATATTTTCTTTCAGAGAAAAGGCATCAAAACTTTGGACTTCTTTGGTGACTCTTCCAAGGGCTTAGACATGCCTAACCTGATTTTCTGTGATGGAATAGCTGCTGAGATTTAAGAGGGGTCCATGCGCATAACCCATTCATTGGCCTAAGTTAAATATAAACTTATTAGTGGAATCAAATGTAAACATACTTAAAATTTACCTTACTAAATTTATTTATACCAGAAAAAAGAAAAATGGATGTAGAAAATTAGTAGGTAAGTTGTGTGAAGGAGGGCGGTAGAGGTAAGTGCATATAACCATATTACAGTAGTCCTTTCTTATCTACCGGGGATATGTTCCAAAACCCCCAGTGGTTATCTAAAACCTTGGAGAGTAGAGTGCTGAACCCTATATATACTGTGTTTTTTCCTGTACATACATATACTTTACAGCTTCTCTTTGACATACCCAAATTGCCAGCATCACTACTCTTGCACTTTGGGGCATTATTAAGTAAAATAAGGGTGACTTGAACAGGAGCACTGTGATACCATGGCAGTCGATCTTATAACTGAGATGGTTACTAAGTGACTAATGGGTAGATAGCACATGCAGCATGGAGATGCTGGACAAAGGTATGATTCATGTCCTGGGTGTGTAGGAGCAGGATGGCGTGAGATTTTATCATGGTACTTAGAACGGCACGTGATTTATAACTTACGAATTGTTTATGTCTGGAATTTTCTGTTTAATATTTTTGGACTGGGGTTGACGTTGTGCAATTGAAGCTATGGAAAGCAAAACCACAGGTAAGGGCGGACTACTATATTCTTGTAACTGCTGTTAGAATTTTTTGTAATTTGGGACTTTAATACATCTCATACTATAATACTACATACCATGATGTTCTTTTTATTAGGTACCTCTTACCATTTCCTTACTGCCATAATTTTAGGAAGCAGACATTAATGATTGATTTTTGTAAAATTTAGTATGATACAGATCTATATGCACATGATACTAAGATAAATGAGGCATAGTCTCTGCCCTCAAGAAGTTTGCTTTCTATTGGGAGAGGGATGAATGGAGGGATAGATTTTAAAAAATATGATACAGAATTAACAATGTAAAAATAGAGATGTATGTTAGATATGATGGTGGGTCAAAGACATTCAGTCTGTTTAGGCTGGAGGGAAATGTGGTTGGGTAAAGGAAAGCTTTCCAAAGAGACACATGATTTAACTACTAAGAGAGGAGAAGGAGTTTATCAGGCAGAATAGATATAAGGGTAGAGTGGACATATCACAAAGGTTAAAATTACACAGTTTATGCTGAAAACTGATGAGTTCAGTTTGGAATGTGTGGTCAAGAATGCTATTGTCTTCCGGTATCTGGTCTTTCCTTTTTTCTTAGTAATACAATTTGGCTGCATAACATAAAGACTACATTTATAGCCTCTCTAGCAGTTAGATGTGGTCATGAGACTTAAGTCCTGGTCAATGGAATAAAAGTACAGGTAGTGTGTTCTACTTCCAGGAGGTGTATTCCAGAGAGATGAAGGTACCCATCTCTTCCTTTCTCCTGTTTCTATCCTTCTGCTAGGAATGTGGTGGTTTTGGGTGGAGCTCCATCTTGGACCATGAAATAGGAACCATATTCTAAGCATAGTGGAGTGTAAAGTAGAAAGGAGCCGGAGTCCCTGTGAACTTTGTGGACTAACAATTTCAGATTAGCCTGTTCCAGACTGTTATTTGAGAGAAATAAACTTCTATGTTACATAAACCACTCTTCTTTTAGATTTTTCTGTTATTGTTGGCTGAACTGAATCCTGATTGATTCAGGGCAGCTTTAGTACATCCAGGTGGACATGTCCATTGGAGAACTGCACATGCAAATATGGAGCCTAAAACCGATAGGTCTTGGTTGACGAAGCAGGTTTGAGAGTCACCATGTTCATCAAACAAATATTCTTTGTGTCAGGTGTGATTGTAGGTCCTGGCAGGGGGATGGGTGGGCAGCTTATAAATCCTCTTGAAAGCAATAAATAGTGGAAGTTTGGGATGTGGTTTTAATTGTGCATGTGTAACAGGTGGAGGTAGAAGAGGACCAATGACAGGACCTCTGGGTCAACATTGAAAACAATAATTCTCACACTTTCATCATCCCGGGGAGCTTGTTACAAGGCTCATGCCCTGGAACTCAAATCCATGGATTCTGAATCAGTAGGTCTGGAGTGGAGCTCAGGTGTTTCTGTTGCACATAGTTGGAGCCCCAAACTTTGAGAAACACAAAAATGAGGGATGATTAGAAGATAGAAGTCAATTTAGGACACTGAGAAAAGTATACATAAATGTAAGATAGTAGGTTGGTTCTCTCAACAGGAGTGGAAAGATTTTAAGGGGTAAGTATTCAAATGCAGCATAAAAGTCAAGAGGAGAGCTCATTAGTGTGGTCTTAAGTACAATTGTGGTTACTAGACTTCTTTGAAAAACCAGATTTTAGAGAGTTGAGGAGTAAATAGGAGATACAAAGTGGTTTTTTTAGTTTTTTTAATGTGGCTCTCTTCTTCGCTCCACTGGACATTTCACCAGTTAAAGTGAAATTTAGAAACCTTACCTTGATTTATGTCCCTTTGCCCTCCACCGTCTATAATATAATTGTCCTGAATATTTTCTCTACATTTATTTAGAACAGCGGCATTTAGGCAATGTTATATTTGGTTCAACCATTAAACACAAGTTAGAAAACTCAAGAGGAGAAGGAAAGTATATTGTATTTATCTACATTTTTGCCCTTTCAGTTTTTTCTTCCTTCCTAATTTTCAAAGACTCCTTTTATCATTTTCTTTCTGTTAGGGAGCTTTTAGTAGTCATTCTTTTAGGGTAGGTCAGCTGGGAGCAAATTCTTAGTTTTCCTTCATCCAATGAAAACTTTCCCATAATTCTTGAGGGATAGTTGCTGGAGATAGAATTCTAAATTGACAGTTCTTTTCTTTGAGTACTTGAAAACTGTTGTGCAACTTCCTTCTGGCCTCCATGGTTTCTGTTGAGAATTTTGCTGTTACTTGAACTGTTTTCCCTCTATAGGTTCCATTATGATTATGGTCTGTATTTCCTTATAGTTCTTGCAGTGCTTACTTTATATTTTATCTGTTTTATGGCTACATTATCAGATGTGTACAAATTTTGAACTGTTATAACTTCCTGGTCAGTTGAATCTTCTGTAGTAATTCTCTTTACGGTAATTTTAAAAATATACTTTAAAGTCTACTTTATCTTATATTGGTATAGCTATACAGTGGTACCTCAGTTTTCGAATGTAATCCATTTTGAAAGGCCATTTGAGTTCTGAAATGTTAGAAAACCGAGGGATCCACAGCTGACAGCTAGGCCTCAGGATCTTGCCCTCAGCAGAAGCCGTGCGGCATGTTCAACTTTCAAGGCGTGTTAGAAAACCGAAGCATTTCCTTCCGGGTTTACGACGTTCATAACCTGAAATGTTTGTCCACAGAGATGTTCAAAAACCGAGGCACTGCTGTATCAGTTTTTGTTTAGTTGGTGTTCTCTCTCTTTCTCTCTTTTTCTAATGTTCAACCTTTATCCTTATATAAAAAGATGCATTTCTTGCAAATAGTTGTATTTTGTCTTTTTTTGGCCAGTCAGCCAGCCTGTCTTTTAACTGGAACTTTTAATCTATTTATATTTATTGTAATTACCATTATATTTGATTTTCAATAAGGCACTTTATTTTGTGCTTTTTATTTGCCCTGCTTTTTCTTTATTTTCCTTTTTTGGATTATTTTTTTTCTCATTCCATTTCTACCCCTTCTTCTTGTCTGGAAGGCCACTAATGAGCTCTCCTCTTAACTTTTATGCTGCATTTGATAGTGTTGAAAACTTACTCCTTAAAATCTTTCCTCTCCTGTTGTTGAGGGAACCAACCTAGTGATCCTCCTACATTTATGTATACTTTTCTCAGTGTCCTAAATTGACTTCTATTGTCTACCCATCCTTCAGTATATTTTCTGTTCTTTTAATATGCTAGGAATGCTTTCTTAACTTAATGGAAGTTTGAAATCAATATCTTTATTTTGCACTGAGGCAATAAAAGAAACTCAGAATACTCTACCCATTTACTCCTTTCCAATTCATATTGTTACTGTTATATATTTTAATTGTTTTTGTAATTGTATAGGCTGTTATTGTTGTTTATATAGTTGGTATTTGTTGAGATTCAGAAACATATTCAACATGTTCTTTGCTCTTTATTCCTTCATAGCATCTCAAACCTTTCATCTGGGATTTATTTTCTTCTGAGTTGGATGCTTCAGAATTTCCTTTAGTGAGAGTCTGCTAGTGGCACACTCTGTCATTATTTTAACTCCTTCCTGAAAGCCATTTTCTCTGGGTGTAGAATTCTAGGTTGACAACTATTTTCTTTCAGCACATTGAAGATATTCTTTTGCCTTTTGGTGTT